TCATAATACATACTTCCACAAATATATAGTAGATTTGTCTAAATCTATCTCGATTCGTTTTGCCTGTTACAAACAACCGTTATGTGAACAAAGTTATAATACCCTTGTGCACAAGTGCGCTCGAGTATAAAAATCTGTTCAAAATGTTTAAAATTTTTATCAGCATTTGTTAAAATTCAAAGTCTTGAAATTTTGACTTACATAGTTTTTTTAGATAGTAAGAAAAGTAGCCAAAACTTGTCAAAATGTATGTTCCCTATTGAGATTCTCGCCACCGTATATATTTTGCTATCATTTTTCAAGATTTTTTCTCTTTGTTTTGTTTTAAATAAAACTGTATTAAAAGATGTTATGTCTTTTTATTTTAAAAACAAAACTGTGTGTTCGCCGTAAACATAGCGCTCAGCAAAAATAACTAACCACATATCGAAGAAAATAGTAGCTGGGTAGTCTACTCGTTAATGTATCATTGGTGCCAAGGCGCGAATGTGCTTACTGTTTGAGGAGATACTTCGTATTGTCCTCGTTTACCACCAGACCCATTCGATTTGATTCCTTATCGAACTTGGAAAAGGCAGAACAGGCTTCGCGGTTTTTGTTACCTATAATGGCGATGTCATCGGCATAAGAAAGCAATTGCACGCTCTTGTTGTAAATTATTCCTGAGCGGCTCAGTTCTGCAGTTCGCGAGATCACCTCTTACAAAAAGAAGGAGCTTTTTTTTATATAATTGGTGTAGGTAACACAGGGCAACACCGATTTTGATGCGGCAAATGTAAAAGATGTTTTTTATAGACATGTTTGTGCTGATTACGAATCCGTTAGTATAAAGTTTCCATCAGCTCTAAATTTTGAGAAAAACGTAGTGAAAGTGTCAAAAAATCGCATTTTTTTCACTATTTAAGAACCCCTTACAAGGAAACAAAAGGTAATAGAACCTTCCACTTAGGCTTAAATTAAAGCTCGGGGTACAGACTACTCTCTGAGAATACTATTCCTGCACCTTGCCCTGATGGTCACCTATATTCATTTACGTTTTATCGTCCAAAAAAAATAAAATAAAAATACTGGAAAATTATGAAGTTGAAAAAAAAAAGTGTAAAAAGCAGTGTTAGCTGGTCAATAAATGACTATAGGTGCCCTTAGGGTCAAGGTGCCGGAATGGTATTTTAGGGGATTGAAGTCAGAAGTCCAAGCCTTAATTTAAGCCTAAGTTGAAGGTTTTACCATCTTTTGCTTAATTGCCTAAGGTACTCAAACTTACCAGTCATCAAATGACTATAAGTGACCATCAAGCAAAGGTACAGGAATTTGCAGGGATACTAGTCGATATTTTTAGTTTTAATCTAAGCCTAAGTGGAAGGTTCAACCACCCTTTGTTTCTTTGCTAGTGCTTTTCAAATATTGCAAAAATCGCGATTTTTTGACACTTTGACCTCGCTTTTCTTAAAATCTGGATGAGGGAAATTTTATGCTTACGGATTCGTAATCAGCACAAAAAAATCTTTCAAAAATAGCGTAAACATTTGCTGCATCACTTTTTTTCCATTTTTGTTGGCCTGTGTAATAAGTATTGTTAAATAGCGAATACCCGCATGTTTGCGGTGCCTTCAAAAACCTTTCGAACTATCTATCTAATACAGGTATCAAATTTCAAGCAAGTCGCACCATGAATAAGATTTTTTCCAATATGTAGATCGATATCTGGTCCACCCATCAGAAAAAATGTCCTATATGTTAATCCTGGCGAATAGATCGGTCCCTGGTCCACTTAACGGAAAAACTTTATCCTATATGCTAATCAGTGTTGCCAGAACTTTTTGGACGAACCGGCTAAATTGGCAAATAAAACCGGGTAAAAACTGCTAAAATGTTTCAACTAAATTTCACACGTTTTATTTAAATAAATCACGAGTAAAAACACTATTTCTTGGAGAGAAGTTACAAATTCGAGCCGGAAAAAATTTGCCAGCAAGAATTTGCATTACTGTGGCACATAGTAGTATTTTTTGTCGACGATAATTTGAATAAACATGTTCGTTAAATTTAAAAATTTTCAAACTGGAGCGATTTGAAAATGAAAAATGTAAGTTAATACTTGTTTACTTAATTAATTTAGTTAATTCCAATGATTTTAAAGGTACTCGGCAAAAAATACTGTATTCTTAATCGGAATGCAATCTCGACCAGAGTCGATATAGTAAATCCGACAAAGAAATTGAAACGTATGTTGAAGAAAGTCGGACTGACAAGATATTTAAACGTAGATCCTGTTTTTTGTCCCTCTGAAAGAATTTTAAAAATTCTATGCAAATTTCTTTTGTTTGAAATGCAACCGTGGACACTAGCTGGCAGAAAAACTTGCAAATTTGCGTTCGTACGGAAAATTGCAAGTTTTCTTACTATCTGATATTTTGACTGACAATTCTCGCTGGATTTTCGACGAACAAACCTATTGTCTTCCCTACAAGGCCTTCTCAGACTGACCGATTCTCAATACACTCAAATAGAAACCAATACACATAAAAAACGCTGTAAAAATTTCACTTCAATTTTAAGGCAGTAAAACAACGACCTTAAGTTAACCGAGTTAAATCAACCGAGGCCATATGTTGACAAGGGATGCAAAATCACAGTTACACAAAAGAACTGGTCAGATTTTTCAGAAATCCCTTCAATTCTGATGTAAAATATGATGCCAAAAGACTGCAGATATCCCATTTAGATGACCGGTCATATGACCGGCAGATGTCTCGTAGGATTCCCAGAGAGTTTTGCTTTACATAGAAATTTGTGCTCTTTTATTTTCATTTTGACGCACTTCAGTGTTGGTTCCTTTAATTCAAGTTGGCATTCGGTTTTTGGAATTTAAATAAGTTCTCAGCAAAAAACTTTGTTTAAAAAAAATATATATATGTACATAGTGCTTGAAAATATCAATTTTTCCCTTACCTTAAACCTTTGGGAGTGGCAAAAATTATGTTTTTGTAATTTAGGCACTATATACAAACACAAACGCATCTTAGGTGTCTTAATAGTGAAACAATTTCTTATTTTCTAAGTTTGCGGATAAAACTTCACACTTAAAATTAAGACATTTATAACAAACATTTTATGAAGAAAATCTCTTCTTCGTTTAAAATAAAAATAAGCGAAATCGGCCCAATTTCATACAACCCTGCCTGACATGAAAATTTTCTCCACGATAAGGCTAATAGCCATTTCTAACAGATTTTGGGTCGCTTAGTCAAAAATGGAAACATATGTATATACATATTTGAAATTTAAGAAAACAAGGCAAATAGCAAAATCGGCTAAAAACGGCTAATTTTTTTCTGAAAAACGGCTAACAAATCGGCTGCCGGCTAAATCGAAATTTCTCCGGCTGTTTGCTATCAAAACCGGCTAAATCTAGCCGGAAAACGGCTAAAATGGCAACGCTGATGCTAATCTAGGCAAAAGGCAACCTTTTTCTAGCGTAGCTCGATCCCTGCTCGACCAATGGGAAAAATTAAAACTTTGTGCACTCCTGCTTCTAAACACCTTTCCAAAAAAGCAGCAACTATTCGAATCGGTTATGAAACATAAGACAAAATTGGTTCCAATTGATTATGCTTAAAACAAATTTCGCAATTATCCAAAATTTTCCAAGCTTCACATCATCAAAATCATGCGTTAAAAGCAAAATTTCGTCGAAAAAAAAAATCCAATTTTTCGCATTATTCCGGATTTTTCCGAGTTTTTCACTTAGAATTTTCTATTTTTTCATTCGAACGCCGTTCCGAAGGAATTGCACAAAAAATCCCATAAAAAATCAATTTTCAATTTTTCCGACTTTCCCGGAGGCGTTTCCCAAAATTTTCTTTTGTAAAAACCTTCTCCTGGCAATTACGAACAACTAAAAAAAAAATATTTTCACCAAATCGGCCCAACCGTTCTCAATGGATGAATTACTATACATTTTTCACATCATTTTTATATATATATATATATAGATTAGGAACAGCTGTTCGTAAACGGCGGTTTCCGACTGAATTTCAGGTTTTTGCATAAGTACACATACATATGTATCTTTTCCAGTCATAAATATATCGATGGTCCTCTACAATAACGACACAATTCAAAATTCAAAGAATAAAAACTCGTACTATTGTTAAGTGGCTTATGTCTTTAATTGTTGTCTTATTCATGTATAATCTTTACAACTTACTTTAGTTAGGGTTAGACATGGGTTGGCCAAGGATTAGAGGCATCTTAACAGTAATAAGGGATTTGATTTTTTGAATTTTGTGTTGTGTCGTTATTGCAGAGGACCATCGATATGTGAATTCATATATTTCGATAATGAAATAAATTCAAGCAGAAATACTATTTTTAGTTACATATACATATGTAACTCAATTTCAGCGCCACCTGGCGGCAAATTTTTTTCGAAAGAATTATTTTTCCTGTTATCAATACATATTTTGAATTTTTGAGGATAATCGGACCATAAACACGATTTTTAGTAATAACTTGACTCCAACGCCACCTAGCTGTTCTTTTTTTGCAATGGCATGGTTTTTCCTATTGTCAACGCATATCTCAAATATGAGGCCATAAATACGGGTTTTACTAATAACTCGACTCCAGCGCCACCTAGCAGTTTTTTAAAAGTTATTCTGCTATTCGGAAGGTAGACAAACTAAAAAAAATATCATAAAAATCCGTCCAGCCGTTCTTGAGTTATAAATGGTGTAACTAACACGACTTTGTTTTATATATATAGATATACATTTGAGTAAACGGAACAAATGTGTGTTTTGCGCTCGCGCTAGATATTTTCATTTTAAATAGTTAAAAGAATTGTATTTTATACTTTACTTACTAATGGTTCACTTACTAATGGAATACCCCATATGCATGTACATATGTATGTACATACGAGTGCTTACACACTTTTAAAATTGTATATCAGAATGTATTTTAAAAATGAATAATAAAATGTTCATGTTACTCACAAATCACTGTTAACTTTGCGTTTGCTCGTATGGCTGAGTTAAGTCGTGCAGGTCCAACTTGACACTGATATTCTGCATCGTCAGTGATTGAAGCATTAGATATTCGTAAATTATATACACCTTGTTTTCGGTCGCCTAAAACCGAATACCGGGGAAATCCAGGAATAACGGCTGAAAAGCCGAGAGCAAATCCATCTTTCGTCCACTGCACTGCCCCCGCTTGATTAGATACTTCACAGCGCATCATAGCTTCTGCACCTTCGAGCACTTGAAGGTCATATGGAGTCACACGAAACTTTTGCTGTTGGGCGAGTAAACCAGGTGTGCAAAAGATCGCGAAAAGCAGGAGCAAAAAATATCCTAAAAAAAATAAAAATAACAAGCGGTCAGTATTGTTCACAAAAATCGTAAGCTGATGCCAAATAAAATGCTTGCTTCACTTTGCGTGACAGATTCGCTTTGACAGATAAGATGAATTGTATGAAAATGCACAAAGCATGCCACATAGATCGTTGCAGCTACAGCGCGAAGCGAAACTCCCATCCCTTTGCACGCTGTGACAATCAGCTGGTTTAATATTTACTTTGTTTCGTCCAAATTCGAGTTTTCATGCAGAAACATAACATTTAATTACATTGCTGATATTTTTAAAGCTAAATATATAAAATCCACAGCAATTTTGGCGAGTAAAAAAGCAGTACAAAATTGTTTTCCTTGCGTTCATTGCGGCATACCTTTTGCGTCTGGCGCTTTGCTGACAAAGTTATAAATGTCAAGCAAAGCCACAAAGTTTTATCTGGCATCAGCTTTAACGTAATTTGGCATTATTAGATGTTGTAAATTTGTTTTGAAAAGAAAAAATGTGCAGCTTTATTTTTTTTTTAAATATGGTATACAGTATGTACATTAGACTACATCACCAAAAAAAGTTGCGGTTTTTCCGGCGGGATAACAAAACCTAGTATATTTTAAGACTTCTAACAAAGTATTTCGGAAAAATATTAAGATTTAAGTGAGCTGGACCGGTTTAAAAATACCTTTAAAAATTGATTTTTTATGAATAAAAATAGTTTCTTGAAGGATTTTTTTTTAAATCCCCTCAGATGACAAAACAGTTTAAGCTTAAAAAATCTACATAAAACTATTAAAAAATTTTATTAACGGAGTCATAATAATGAGATTTTTGATACTATTTTTTAACATTTTTTAAAGAGTTGTGTAAGAGAAACTTGAATAACTGCTCCAAAACTTTACCGATATAGACTTATGATGTATCAGTGGAAAGGTATTTTCTCACCCTTTTTATTTCTTTGCAAATAACTCAATCATGTCCCAATAACAACATATCTTAATTCAACATGGGATGACACTCGTTTATCTTACCTTCCCTTCCTTATTCGCAAAGAAATTAAAAGGGTGCAAAAATAACTTACCAATGATACCTCATAAATCTAAATTGGTAAGATTTTGACTGAGTTATTCATGTTTTTCTTAATCCAGTCATTGAAAAAAGTTCTCTTATTAACGAAAAACTCAATTTTTGGAGGTATTTTCAAATCGGTCCAGCTCACTTAAATCTTAATATTTTTGCGAGATATTTTGGTGGAAGACTTAAAATATAATAGATTTTATAATTCCAGCGGAAATTTTTTTTGTATGGGGAGTGATGTAGTCTAATCTACATAAATACATATGTACGAGCCGTGCGAAACACTATCTGAAGTTAAGACACGAACTTTTCTTTCACAGAAAATGAAAAATTTTTCCATAAATGGACAGTTCACCAAAATGATAAACGATCTGGAAGTTGAAATGATCCAGCTTTCCTCTGGCTTAGGATTAGTATCCGTGGTTCTCACTCTTTTTCCTCCAAACACGCAGACGCTCCTCTCATTCTTAACGTTAAGTTTTCAAAACATTTGTTCTCGCCTACGTCCGCGAACCTAGCTGACCCAAGTCGCCAAAAATCAATAAAAATTAGCTAGGAATTAGGTGTCTTTTAGGTGTTAATTAGGGCCTCCAAAATTAATTTAGGTGCTCCATTGGTTTCCGAGAAATTCGCAAAAATCTGTGGGTCAGTAAGGTTTACGTAAACCTAGCTGACACATCTTTAACAGCCAGTTTCACCAAACTATTTAAGTGAAAATTAACTGTAATTTAATTTTGTATTTAATTCTCAATTAAATAATTTTCAGTTTCATTAAACTATTTATTTAAGTGAGTAAAAAGTGGTTGTAAAACAGACTAGGCCAGCGAAAGCTTTTATCTGTACTTAGAGCTTTTGAAAGTTTTGGCACGCTGTATTGTAAAAGCAGGGCTGGTATACAAGTAAGCGGCAGATACACAATGATCAGGTGATTAAACGTGTAACACCTCTGAGTGTGGTTATTCTAATTTAATTTTTATTTAAGTGAAGAGCATGAGGTCACTTAAATCAAAATTAAAATTGATTGGTGATACCAAAAATTCGAAAATTAAAGTAATTTTCACTTAAATATTTTGGTGAAACTGGCTGAAAATTTAGGTTTTAAACTTTCCAAATATATGCTGGAATTAGGTGTCTTTTAGGTGTACTTCAACGCCACTAAAACTAATTTAGTAGCTCCATTGGTTTCCGAGAAATTCGCAAAAATGTGTTTTTCAGCTAGCTTAGCGCTGTTAACCTAACTGAACAACCTTTAAATTTTTGTTGTAAATTTTCGAAATACATATATGCAGGAATTAGGTGTCTTTTACGTATTCCTCAACGCCACTAAAACTAATTTAGTAGCTCCATTGGTTTCCAAGAAATTGGCAAAAATGTGTGAGTCAGCCACTAGCGTTGAATAACACCTAAAAGGCATGGCGCCAAAACGCTAACATTTAACTAAATTTTTTAAACAGGTGAAACCTATTCAAAAACCTCTAAAAAATATTCCTAATGATTAATCTAACCATTTCTGAGTGATGAGAGGTCTCGCATGGTGTTGGTTTTCATGTAACTTCAAAAAATAAAACCTGTGCAACATCTATGTAGAATCTCAGTTCTTTAATTTGGCTTCTCATTTTGGAAATTCGAAATAACGTTGCAGATGTGATGACCTTCAAAAAAAAATAGTAATAGATGGCAATTCTAATTAAAAATATTATCAGCCTCTAGTTTCCTTAAAACTCTTTCATTTGACACTAATATTTCGATAACTCCTTTATGTATCTTTCGTATAAGTAAAACAAATTTGAATTTTCAAACAGGTGGCAACCCCTTTAAAGGTATTTTGAAACTAAAATCTTTCGTCTGGCATTGTTATACATATTTCAATTTACTGATGAATTAAGTTGAATTTAGTTTTTTAAACACATGGCAACTCTCGTAAATACAGTTTAGAAATAAAGTATTTTCAAACCCATTTCGATTGATACCGATCTTTTGACAATCCATTTAACTTATTAAATAATTTGAGCTTAATTTTTTCAACAAAAAAAAAACAAATGTTCAATTTAAAGCTTTCTTGACACTCGATTTCTAACTTATGTATAATTAAACGAAATACCACTTTCAAAACAGGCGGCAACCCTCTTAAAAATTATTTTCGAACTAAAATTTCCTAAATATTTTTCGCCTGACATTGTTATGAATATTTCAAGTATCTGATGAATTAAGTGGAAATTCATTTTTTAATCACGTGGCAACCCTCCTAAACATAGTTCTTAAATAAAGGATTTTAAACCCATTTCCGTTGATTACCATCGGTTAGTAATTCAATTAACTTATTAAATAATTTTAGTTTAGCCCTTTAAGCTGATCAACCCTCAATCAAATCAAAAATGTTCTAGATTGTAAAACTAAGTATTTCTTGAAGCTCGTTCATCGTTAATATTTCATATAACTTGGGTATAAAATAGTTCAATTAGACTTCTCAAATAGGTGGCAAACCTATTCAAAATATTTCCAAACTACTACCTTCTTAAACCTCTTTTGTATGACACCCATATAGCGATACCTTATTTACTTACCAAATTCCTTTAACCAAAATTTAATCACATTTTTTTAACTCCTATACGTAGTTAAGTTATAAAGCCTAAATAATTGATTTAACTTTTTAATTAATTTGAGCTTAATTTCTTAACAGGTGACAACTTTTTTCGAAAAAGTAAAACCTTCTTGACATCCACACCCACTTTTGAAAATCGAACGTACGGTGCGGATCTGAGGGCATTGATTAGTAAATAACTTGAGTTTAATTATTTAACAGGAGGCAACTCTTTTCGAAAAAAAACGAAACCTTATTGCACATCTACAGGCCAAGCGCTTTAATTTGACACCCCAATTTTGAAAATCGAGCGAACGGTGCAGATGTTTTAGGCTGCACAAAAAATGCCTTCGCGTATTATATATAATAGATAGAAGATAGATAGATAGATAATAGATTGGCGCTTACACATATGTTAGTGTTTCTCCTCCAACTTGTGGCGTGCGCCTTGATATTAGGTGCGTTCGTTTAATCTCCAGTAAAAACCAACAAACTGCAAAATTCCGGCGAAATGTCACCAGTTCTCTCACAAGAGAAAAATATCCAAAACAGTACGCGAACAGAAAATTTGCAGAAACTTGCATGTTAGACGAACAGCTGATATAATTTTTGTTGACATTAAAAAGTGTAACATTTAAAACGTACGAAAACTCATTACAAAGTGGTATCGTGACACAGTTTATTGATTAAACAAATAACTACTTACTTCTTATAAGTTTAATTAGTCGCATTTTGTCATTTTTAACTTCCAAACCATCAAATTCAATTTTGTGATTTGCGTAAATTCAAACCAGCTGTTTTCCTGTTGGCAAAAATTTTTCCAACAGAAACCAGCAGCTTCCCCTCAAAATGAAATGTCGCTTTGCTCTCTCAATTTCCCCTATTTTGCAAGTTTTTTGCGTACGCGAACGCAAAAACCTGAAAGTTATGGGTAAACATGAACAATTAACAGCTACGCGAACGCAACTATTGTCACACAAAGCGGAGGGACCTACAGTTTTACGCCGACTCCGAACGGCGATTGTATTTTTACGAGAAGCTGGTTTTCATGGCAGAAATACACTCGGAGGTTTGCCATTGCCTGCCGAGGGACGACCGCCGTTAAGAAAAAACCTTTTTCTAAATTTTTTGCGATGTGGCTTTGACCAGTGCTTGAACCCAGGTGCTGGTGAGTGAAATGCGCACTGCTTACTACACCACAGCGGCCGACCAACATATGTATATTTGGAAAATTTAAAACCTAAATTTAAAGATAGGTCAGCTAGGTTTACGTAAACCCAGCTGACCCACACATTTTTGCGAGTTTCTCGGAAACCAATGGAGCTACTAAATTAGATTTAGTAGCGTTGA